TTCAATGTCTCGCTCTGGCGGCAAGACATCCGGCAATTGATCTGGAAAGACTTGGGGAAATTCAGCCAGCACTTGGTGTATTGGAGCCGGAACTGGCTCGGTCTCCTTATTCGTGATGCTCATAGAGTAGACTTCGGCATAGTATCCTTGCTTTACGCGTTCTTCAAACTCTTTTGACTCGACAGGACCAAAGGGAGTCGGTAACTAAATCGTATGAGTCCTCTAATCGATTCTTGGAATGTACTGGACAAGCCAAGGCTTTCCGAGAATAATGTATTGTTGCTCTGTCAGTTCCGACTCTGTCAATACCACGTCTTTGTAGACTTGTCCTTCCATCTTGATCTTGTCTTTGAAGATGTTTGTGCTCTTCTTTTTGGTCGAGCTTCCATCGAATCTCATCGCACGCACTGTCCTCCTCTGATAGAGGTTCTGACCCAAATGCGGTCGAATGATGTTGTGATCGGCACCGCTGTCGATCAGCACTTTGACTTGTTTGCCTCCAATGTAGGCAACCTTTCGAATGAGTTCACTGGAGTTGTCCGAAACCGTTACATTGTTGATTTTGACATTCATGATGTTCAACTCCTTCTCTTCATCATCGTCTCATGACGCATTGCCGCATGTGTCACTTGTGCTGGCCTCTGTCTTTGAATTCTCTTGTAGCATTTTGCTATTCTGTGTCCTGGCTTTTAGCAGTAAAAGCACAGGTTTCGTCGAGATCACTCCTCTTTGCTTAGCTTGGCATTGCATATTTCTATGTCGCCATTCTTCGGTTGACGTGCATGCATCGACTGAACGGGTCCTCTATACAGAGGCTTATATCCCGAACTTGACAAGTGCATACTTTATCGCAAGAATTTCTTGTCATGAACTGGGTGGTTCTTCTCCGCAGCCTTAAGCTGGCGAAATTCGACCGCGATCACCCGATCTCAACCCTTGGCGCCTGCTTGCAGCAGTGCACAGTCGATAAAAAGTCCGAAGCGTCACACACGACACTTAAAGAACGATCGGGGTCTGGCAACGCCAGACTGGTGCATGAAGAAGACCGTCTTTGACCCTGTCAAAAGTCTACCGATGCTCGGTTTCTCAACACCATTCCTAAATCTTCTTAAGGAAATTCGACAATGGCAGTGCCTTTTCCGCATAATTTGCGCTATAC